AACGGTTTCGCAGACCCAAACGGATGTCATATGTTTTCCTAGTTTATTTGATTGAGTCTCATCCTCAAGTCTTGTGTTTATCCCTCAGGATAGATACAGGATTTGAGGTAGAGCGCTCTTTCATTTAAACTGTGAAAAATATGAGGTCAGTTTGATTTCATATTTTTTCTAAAATTACATATATATATATATACACGTAAATTAAAACGTCCTTTCGAAGCGGACGACGGGATTTCGATTCCGGTTGCCGACAGCTTCTTACGGGCGACCCCCCCAAACAACATTTCTTTCTTTTTTGTGTCGACAATGTCATTCATGGAATTGAGTGAAAATAGATAGAGAAATATATTTTGTTGAATGCAGAATTGAAGATTTTGAGGTGACAGATTAAAATTCTCAATTTGGTCCAGTTGATTGAAAATTAATGTGAGATTGTTAGCCCTCAGGAAATGGAGTAGTGGGAGCTCTGGAGTGGCCGGTATCCTCCCAAATTAACCACGGAATTAGGGATCAAACTTTGGATTAGTCAGTGTTCTTTATAGCACTCGGAAGAAGGCAAAGAACAAAATTGCTCCTATTTGACACAAAACAGTTATTAAATATATATATTTTCAAATGATTTTCATTTCTTCACATTTCATATGCTCATTGTAAGGGGAAAGATGATTTCTTAAATTTGAGTTTTCCGTCAACAAAAAATTCATTTAGTTTTTGTAATTTTACTTTTGAAAGTATAATTTCTAGTTTAGTCAACTTTGTTTTTCAAAGTATTTTAAATAGCATTCACTTCAGTTTCGCACTTTATTTTTTGTATTTTTTAAATAGTACTTTATATTATAATCTTAAGAACTATTTACAAGCATTTCCAACTTCTCTGTGGAATCGAACCCTAGCACTTCATTAGAGCCATTTATTACTTGAGCGATACGTATACTTGGGTTATTTTAAAAGGGATTTGACAGTTTAAAAGAGTTTTAAAGGTAAACTATTTTTATTAAAGTTATTTTTTGTTGGGACTCCAATGCATTTTTATTATTATATCTGTCCGTTTCGTTATCTGAGGTCGTTCGGACAACCTCGTCGACGATCGAGTAAAAAATACGTTGAATTTGATTTTATTAAAATTTTGAGTTTGTGATCGATCTTTCAAAATTTTATTTAAGTTTAGATAAATAACTGCACAGGCGATGCGAATTGTGGTAATCGAACGTGTCGATTGTTCGATTTGTGAAGTTTGTACGCGCGAAGGTGCAAATGTGCATAAGGCAATCCTAGGGCTTAATAATCTTATAGGAACTCCTTTTGAATTTCCTCATGTTAGTTTCAACCTACTAAATGCTACTAAGACCACACATACGGAACTTAAAAGGGTAAAGAAGTAGTTTGGATTTTTAAAATGACGTGGATCCCATTTATAGGGCTCTAAGATAGTCAAAGGAATAATATTAAGGCTAGAACCTAAACCTTAAGAAGAAAACTAAAAATGAGATCAACAAAAATTAGCGCTAGTTGGAGCGTCGAATTGCAGTCGGAGAAAGAGAAAAGCATTGTAGAAAAGTGGAATCCGGAGGAGACAAGATGGCAACCAAAACCGATGAATGGAGGCAAGAATGACGGCTGAAGCCAAGGAGCAAAGGCTCGAATGACAGCGTTGAGGAGCAGAGGCGCAGATGATGGTCAAAGCAGAAGAGCGAAGCCAGAGGAAGGTTCTAAGCTGTAGGAAGGAGGGAGACAGTGGTTGTAGGTGCTGGGACGGCCTGATGAAGGTTATGACCTGCTGTGAGTGAGGCAGAAGAAGGCAGGAGGGGCAGAGAAATTTTCGGTGAGGGCGCTAGAAGGGTAGTAGGGGGCTCCGAAGGAATGTGGCTGCAGTTGTTGCATTAAGAAGGGTAGCTGGCTGTAGCAGTGGCGTCTAGAAGGGAAGCAGGAGGGATGCGAACCGTAGGGGGCTGCAACCATGGCGTATGGAAAAGCAGCAGGAGGGTTGCGAATAGAAGGTGGCTATAGCAGTGATGTCTAGAAGGGCAGCAGATGGTTGTAGATGTAATGTCTGGAAGTGCAATAGGAGAGCTACGAACAACCGACAATGAAGTCGCAGAAGAATTGCCCGATTGTTTCGCTAGCAGGGAGGTGACCGACGACACTGGAGGGTGGCGGGAACGTCAACGAACAAAAGGTAGTGGCGGAGCAGTGAAGATAAACGCCACCTCAGACGAGGTTACAGCCAAAGCACTTTCCTCATCGTCGGCTACAACCCTTCAAGAGGGCAAATAATCTGATAAACTGAAATCAAATTTTGAAAACAAGACTTACTCTAGACACAAGAACTTCTATTATAAAAAACTTCACTTAATTTTATGAAACATTGAAATATGAAAGGAATAATATCAAATTTAAGAATTTAGACAAGATTTTTAATATAAAGAAGTGAATAAAATCAAATTTCAGATTTAATGCAAGCGTTTTAAAATTAGGAGACAAAAATCAAATTTTGGTTTTAAGGAAATGCTATAGAATTAAGACAGGTTTAGGGCGGCAAGAAAGGAAAAAAAGAAAAATGGAATGCCAGGGAGGGGAGGGGAGGGGAGGGGAAAAAGTAGACGGGGAGCACCCCCCCCCCCCCCCCCACCCCTCTCCAAGGGGACCGGCCGGTCCAGCTAAGCTGGACCTTCTCCTAGGTCTATCAATTTAGCTCGAAGATTGTTAATCACTCAAAAATTGATTTGAATTTTGGCTCAAATAGATATCGAATCAAAATAAATGAGTCGAACTACGAGCCAAAATTTTGGATCAATTTTTTTACAAACCGATTTCAAGTGGGCCCCAACTCGACTTAAACGATAACTCATTATACAAGAGCTTTCCAAAATTTAACAAGCCTCCGTAGATTAGGTTTTTATTTAATCTAGTTAATTTAAATTTGAGAATCAATTAGTAAATTTAGGAAAATCAAAATTTTCAAACTAAGATCTGATAGTAGTAAACTAGGACTTAGCTTAAGGAATTTTTTACATCGTTTTTCTGTGGGATCGATATTTTGGCTTTAAAGAAAACCCTATATGACATGAACGATACGTACACTTGTGTTTATACCTGGTGAGTAGTGATAAATCGTAAAAAAATAAGTTATTAAAGTTATAAAATATATTTTTAAATTATAATATTTAAACCATAAATGACTAGGTATACTGTTAGAATAAGTAGCAGTCAAGTCAGTACCCACGCACGCGGAGTTCTTCTATCACCCAAGATAATTGTGATAGTTAGTTCATTAACAGCAGTGTTGATGGTATAGTATCGACCAAAGACGAATAGACTATAGCTTACCTCCCCAGACAATTGTAATGTTTACATTACTAACCGTTGTGCAGACGATATAATTTTCGTAGAGGGTAGGTAAGAGCATTTCCATCTAAACAAATGTGTTGTGTAGATCGCTAATCGCTGTGCCAACGAGATCTTACAGGAGAATATTGACCAAGAGTGTGTTAGGTTTGTTGACGGTGATCCTCACAGAGACAAATGTGTATATAAAGTATAAAGTAAAAGTAAAATTAAAGTAAATACTTATATTAGATTGAGTATGTTCATTTAGAAAAAGATCATTGATGCATACATTAGAATATATCAAATTATTTGTAAGTATATATATCAAATTACTTATAAAATATAAAAGATTAATAAATTATGTATATATATCAGATTTTTTACAAAATATGAAAGATCAGCATATTATATAATTTTTTATAGACTCGCATATTTTAAGTTTTTTCCTTGGATTACTGTAGTTTAATAATGTAATTACACCTGTATTATCTTTCGATAACTCATTATGTTGTTTTAATATTATTTTTAGATTTTAAACATTTGAACATGATGAATAGAAGAGCGAATAGATACATGAGACGAGAACATCAACAAGAAAGCTACAACTTTTACATATTAATTTTTATTGCTTCATTTAGTGACTCTTTTATGTAAATTTTGATCATTGAATTGTTAGTAATAGAAATAGAAAATATCGTTCATTGTCCGATCATCTGCACCCATCTTTGTTAATTCTAAGGCCCGGTCTAGGTCGTTACATAAATATTAAAGATGAAAAGTAGTTGGCTATTCTAAAGTAACTAGAGAAAAATACTTAAATTTAGAGGAAAATGAGAAAAAATGTCCTTTATTCACAATAATTGGTTTGCTTGATATTTTGGAGGGTCTCCCAACCATGACAGATACCACTTACGAGATCAATTGAGCTTCAAATCAGCACAAGATGTTCAAGTTTTGCTCTTTACTCTGTAGCTTTAGAACAATCATACCTTTTAATTTTTGATGTTAAAGTTAACTTAAGACCCATTTGGGGCAAATTATTTGGTGCAGTGGCGTTTTGAAAATGCACCCGACCTGTTTGGGTAAACTGCATTTTGGCAGCTTATGTGTTTTCAAAACGCAGAAAACAGCGTTTTCACACCGCACATATCTAGGTGCAGTGGGAGCTTATTGGCAATGGTTTGTCTTTTCCAAAAAAATAAAAATTTGTAATAGTCACCGCACCTAGCTTATCAGCAGATTATTCAATAAACTACAACAGCCCCAAACAGACCCTTAATATAGTTATCTGACATTTTCATGGTAAATAAAATAAATAAAGAAAAAATTCAATTAGGCTGAGCCATTTAATTAATTAATAAGTTGCTTTCATGTAATTAAAAAGGTATATGAAGCGAGAAATCTCCAGAAACACAACTAAAAGGAATCGCCATTACGATAATAAATTTTCTGATAAAAATGCAGCTAAAAATTTCTAATAACACAACTAAGAAGCAATCACCAACCAGATCAAAGACATAAACTAGCTCGATTGATATGCATGAGTTGGCCTGCAAGGACAAATAAAAAAGTTCTGGCAGTTAGTTGTTAGCTATGCATCATTAGTGCCTTGGCCATCTTGAGAAAATACCACATATCACAATTTATATACCCTTTCCAATATGCACAAGTGTAGGCAATCCAACCTCTCTTGAAGATACTCTGATATTCCGACTTCAAATATTTGGCTTATGTGCAAAAGGGAACATACGCACTGAAAAAATAAATACACAATTAGAAAAAAATAAGTTAGAAATTACAATTATGACAGAAATTAAGTTATACCAACTCCTACACTTTCGCAACTTTAAATAGAATATAGTATGCATCATAAAATATCTTCTAATAACACAAGAGCTGTAAGAGATATTGCATTGCACACATTTATGCAATTTTGCTTGATATGCATGTGCTTGTTAGTGCATGTGACACACATTGAAAATACAAATATGTCAAATGAGCTAAAAGCATATCAGTCCAAATACAAACAAATATATAGCACAAGCATAAGAAGATTATTAATTAAAACATTAATATGGACAGTTATGAGCTCTTAAGAAACAATCTGAGTTTTCAAATGAGAAACCTTACATTTATTCATGCAAGGATTTTAATTCTGAGGTCTAGAACTTCCTATCAGCACAGCCCGAAATCAATTTGCTCTCCAATGTAATTAAGGAGAATGTTCAATTTTAAGAATCATTTTATCAAATGGATTGCCAATACATTCCATCATGGAACTTCACGTTTAAGGAAGTCGGTGAGGGGAACAAAATAAACTTCATAAAAATCTCATAGTTCCATTGTTTAGGAATTTATTGGGAAGATGTTACATAGAGTTTGGACGTTACAACTAAGATAGCTTAGAGTTAATTTGGCGTGACTACACTTTTCGTAAAGATAGTTGTAAAGTTAACACGGGGAAAGTAATTTTTTTGATAGTCTTTGAGTACCATAAATGTTTTCTATTTTGAAAAAGTCAAATATCAACTTTCTTAATGCTACCATACACAAGCGAATTTGGTCATAAAAAATAACCCCCACCCAAAAAAACAATTCTAGAAAGCAACAAAAACTTAGTAACCAAACAAAGTGTGTCGCAGCATAAAAAATAAAGCAGTACAAAAGCTTACATAAATAGAACTTTAGTGTTAAAATTGGGGACTTGGTGCTACAATTACATAAATTAAGTCAAGGAACTTGTTGTGATCATTCAAATCCAATCAGTGATGTTGGTGTGACTTTAAACTTCAAGTTAGTTAGCTCAGCTTTGACTGTTGGGTGTCTCATTAAAAATAATAGATTCATTCCTCCAAGGCTATCTCTTAAGGAATGGGTAATGCTTGACATGAATAATCATTGAATTACTTTTCATACTAAGTATTAAGCAAGTTTTCAGTTAATTTCAACAGATTTCAAATATTTACATTATTGTGTCTATTTCCTTAGAAAATTTAGAACATTTTAAAGAATTTATTACAAGTCAATAGTTTATACAAGGGCCTTTAGTCTACTAGTAGAGGCGCTTAATTTTCATTTATCAAATTAAATAAAAAGTTTTTGAAGCTGTTCTCCTAGATGTATCTCCCTCTCCCACTCGTATCTTTCCTTCAGTCTATGTCAAAATTAGTATCAACAGAGACAATACCATCCAACAGCTCGTTCCCACGTAGAATCTTATTGTCCATGCACATCATAGACACCAATTAAATGCGTGACTTGCTTGAAAAGTGGGAGCTTATTGGCAATGGTTTGTCTTTTCCAAAAAAATAAAAATTTGTAATAGTCACCGCACCTAGCTTATCAGCAGATTATTCAATAAACTACAACAGCCCCAAACAGACCCTTAATATAGTTATCTGACATTTTCATGGTAAATAAAATAAATAAAGAAAAAATTCAATTAGGCTGAGCCATTTAATTAATTAATAAGTTGCTTTCATGTAATTAAAAAGGTATATGAAGCGAGAAATCTCCAGAAACACAACTAAAAGGAATCGCCATTACGATAATAAATTTTCTGATAAAAATGCAGCTAAAAATTTCTAATAACACAACTAAGAAGCAATCACCAACCAGATCAAAGACATAAACTAGCTCGATTGATATGCATGAGTTGGCCTGCAAGGACAAATAAAAAAGTTCTGGCAGTTAGTTGTTAGCTATGCATCATTAGTGCCTTGGCCATCTTGAGAAAATACCACATATCACAATTTATATACCCTTTCCAATATGCACAAGTGTAGGCAATCCAACCTCTCTTGAAGATACTCTGATATTCCGACTTCAAATATTTGGCTTATGTGCAAAAGGGAACATACGCACTGAAAAAATAAATACACAATTAGAAAAAAATAAGTTAGAAATTACAATTATGACAGAAATTAAGTTATACCAACTCCTACACTTTCGCAACTTTAAATAGAATATAGTATGCATCATAAAATATCTTCTAATAACACAAGAGCTGTAAGAGATATTGCATTGCACACATTTATGCAATTTTGCTTGATATGCATGTGCTTGTTAGTGCATGTGACACACATTGAAAATACAAATATGTCAAATGAGCTAAAAGCATATCAGTCCAAATACAAACAAATATATAGCACAAGCATAAGAAGATTATTAATTAAAACATTAATATGGACAGTTATGAGCTCTTAAGAAACAATCTGAGTTTTCAAATGAGAAACCTTACATTTATTCATGCAAGGATTTTAATTCTGAGGTCTAGAACTTCCTATCAGCACAGCCCGAAATCAATTTGCTCTCCAATGTAATTAAGGAGAATGTTCAATTTTAAGAATCATTTTATCAAATGGATTGCCAATACATTCCATCATGGAACTTCACGTTTAAGGAAGTCGGTGAGGGGAACAAAATAAACTTCATAAAAATCTCATAGTTCCATTGTTTAGGAATTTATTGGGAAGATGTTACATAGAGTTTGGACGTTACAACTAAGATAGCTTAGAGTTAATTTGGCGTGACTACACTTTTCGTAAAGATAGTTGTAAAGTTAACACGGGGAAAGTAATTTTTTTGATAGTCTTTGAGTACCATAAATGTTTTCTATTTTGAAAAAGTCAAATATCAACTTTCTTAATGCTACCATACACAAGCGAATTTGGTCATAAAAAATAACCCCCACCCAAAAAAACAATTCTAGAAAGCAACAAAAACTTAGTAACCAAACAAAGTGTGTCGCAGCATAAAAAATAAAGCAGTACAAAAGCTTACATAAATAGAACTTTAGTGTTAAAATTGGGGACTTGGTGCTACAATTACATAAATTAAGTCAAGGAACTTGTTGTGATCATTCAAATCCAATCAGTGATGTTGGTGTGACTTTAAACTTCAAGTTAGTTAGCTCAGCTTTGACTGTTGGGTGTCTCATTAAAAATAATAGATTCATTCCTCCAAGGCTATCTCTTAAGGAATGGGTAATGCTTGACATGAATAATCATTGAATTACTTTTCATACTAAGTATTAAGCAAGTTTTCAGTTAATTTCAACAGATTTCAAATATTTACATTATTGTGTCTATTTCCTTAGAAAATTTAGAACATTTTAAAGAATTTATTACAAGTCAATAGTTTATACAAGGGCCTTTAGTCTACTAGTAGAGGCGCTTAATTTTCATTTATCAAATTAAATAAAAAGTTTTTGAAGCTGTTCTCCTAGATGTATCTCCCTCTCCCACTCGTATCTTTCCTTCAGTCTATGTCAAAATTAGTATCAACAGAGACAATACCATCCAACAGCTCGTTCCCACGTAGAATCTTATTGTCCATGCACATCATAGACACCAATTAAATGCGTGACTTGCTTGAAACCTTTCCCCCATCCAGTTTGTGCATCTCACATACCATCCCCCAATTGTCACATATCACATGATTAGAGCCCATAACAGCAGATGACATCCACTACTCACATTCCGCTCACCACACGCAGACTTATATCCAGCATGATTCCTTCTTATATTCCATCACTTCCATATCAACTACTTGTAACCTTCCTCATTGCTTCCCATTCTCCCATTCTCTCATCCGACTAATAGCACTTCTGTAAGATCCTAATTTTTTCTTTATTTTTCTTTTTTGATTTGTTGCCGCCTTCCCAATCATAACATCCGCCTAATTTTTTCTTTATTTTTCAATGTAGATAAAATAGTAAGACAGCATGGAGTCTTAAAGTTAATTGTTTCAGATAGAGATGGTATATTCACATCCAGATTGTGGAGGAAAATTCAAGATGCTTTCGATACTCAACTAATGTTCAATACAACTTTTCATCCCAGACAGAAGGTCAATCAGAACGAATAATCCAATGTTAAAAGACTTGTTTAGATTTTATGTGCTTGATTTAGTGGATATTAAAAATGTGCATGCCTTTGATAGAGTTTACCTGCAATAATAGCTCCTAAACCAATATCAATGTGATTCCTTATTAAGCTCTTTATGGAAGAAAATGCATGACAATTCTTTGTTAGACAGAAACTGGTAAAAAAAATAATATGTTGAATTATTTAAAGAAACTACGGAGAAGATCCTACTGAATCGTGACAGACTGAGAGAAATTCAAGATAGACATAAAATATTATGATGCTCAGCACCAACGCATGAAATTTGAAGAAAATTTGTTTTTTTTTAAATTAGTCCAATGAAGGGTGTGAAACGATTTGGAAAGTCTATGAAGTTGAGCCCACTATATATTCGCCCATATAAATTTTTGGAGAAGATTGAAAAAGTTGCTTACAGGCTTGCCACACCAGCACATATGCACGAGGTATATAATGTGTTTCATTTCTCTTGACTGTGGAAGAATGAAGTTGAGGAAGCTAGCAAACTTGTCACAAAACCCATATATATTCAATCTGATTTGATATTTGTAAAGAAACCAAAAATAATCATAGAATATGATGTAAAGCAACTCAGAAATAAAGAGAGATTCATTTTGTCTGTGATTTATGGAAGCACGGATTGAAAAAGATGTTGCATGAGTTAAGGAATCAAAAATGAGAGAATATTATCCACAAATTTTCAATTAAGATATAGATTTAGTTCTTATACTTTAAATTTTGATGATTAAATTTTTCTAAGGAGATAAGATTGTAATAATACATGTTATTATTTTACTAAAGCTCGCATACAATGTTTAATTAATTCATTGTGTTTAATGTTATAAAGGATAGAGAAAACTTAATAACAGAAAAGGGCAAAATTTAAAATGAAAATGATTGTCTACCATTTGGTGAGTAAGAAAAAGTTAAACATATACTCATTAGTATATATGTTCATAGGTGACTCACAATAACAAAAAATGTCACATGAATAAATGAAAGTAAACGAAAAAATTATTTTCTTTACTTTTCTTTTTTGCTGCTCACAGTCTACGAACAACTTACTACATCATTAAAAAAATATTTTAATAATAAAAATTGTTGTAATTTAAGAATATTTTGTCTACTGAATTGTTTAATCCATCATTCAGTTGCTAATATTTTACAGAAAAATCTAATATAGGATAGATAAATACTAGAGAGTATGTGTACAAAGGATAAGGAGCTCAGATCGATAAGTATTACACTTTAATTTTTAAGTAATGTCAGTTGTAAGGGTTTAAGTATGAAAAAATTATTGTAAATTAAAGCTTTATGAAATAGAATGATTGCTTTGCATTTTGGATCATTTTATTTACTAAATGAAATTGTTCGTTTTCCTTCGTCTAGCCATCTATTCCCATCTTGGTAATCCAAGCTCCGGGTTAAGTCGTAGCACTCCCCAGATATTTCACACCAAATCTTTGAAATAATGATTTTTCATTATTCCGATCTTACAAGTCACCTTTACAACTACGAGTGACCCTTCTGGATTATCTCCTCTCGAAAGCTGCAAGCCTCTATTGCAGTTGGGGGATTTTCTGTTGCATATTTTTCATAAAAAGTTCATGGACATCTATTTGTGGATTTCTCAAAAATGGTATTGAGCATTTCCCCCAATCAGATTTTCAGCAATAGTCTCCTCAGTAGCGTGTTTAGGGTTTAGGTTTGGGGGTGAAAGTAGGTGTATAGGTTAGTCTAGAGTAAGAAAAAAAAAGTTGAGGTTTGATTCGGAAAAACAGCAAGGGTGTGGGGTTTTGGGGATCGGGTAAAGTATTTGTGAATTTTTTATAACTCTAAGATAGGAGGGCTAAGCTAGCTCTAATACCAAATGATATCGGAGTTAAACTATACAACAATGAAAAATAAATATTATAGAAAACTTCCAATAGGAAATTACAATAAAACAAATGACAACATTAATTCACCCTAGGGTAACATCTATGGGTTGTGGTGGTCGGCAAGGTAGATTGGAAGGGGTGGCAGACGGATGGGAGGGCAGAAAAACAGCAGGCTTGCTGTTTTCTAGACGACGGCAGCAAGCGGAAGGGGTTGCGGCAATGTAGGGATGGCTGGAAGTGCAGGAACCAGCAAGCAGAGGCGAGTCTGGTTGGAGATAACAAAGTTGGATGGCTGGACAGTAGCAGGAAATTGCAGCACCTTGTTGTATGGACGACAGCAGAAAGGTAGGGGAGATGGAAAGCAGAAAATCAGCAAGGAGATGTGGTTCTAGGCGTCGACAGCAATGGAGGGAAGGGGGAGCGAAGCGGGAAGAACAGGAAGGGTAAAAGAAAAATAACTCACCACCTCAGGAGTAAGATGCAGCCAAAGCACCACTTGAATCCTTGGATACAGCCCTAAAAAAAAAAAAACAAGAGACGTCGGGGGCTGTCCCAGACAAACACATACAAAAACTAACCCAAATACATCATGAAGACAAAATTATAATAATAAAATTACTAGGAGCGGGCCCAAAAGATCAGGCAGCACTCCAAAACAAGGAAAAGTTTGGACCAAATCTGTCCACGTAAGCAGGCGCTCCCCCGCTTTCAGACATGGCGGGCGTTTCGCCTACTTACAGAAGCCCCACATCAATCCCAACATATGTAGATTCGTGATTTACATTGTCATATGTTTATGTTCCCTTAATAATAAGTTGAATTAGCTTTTGAAGAGCTCGTTTAAGAATCATAAAACATAAACATTGTGCTGTGAGTGTAAGCTTTTATAAGAATTTCATTGTTAAGCGACTAACATAAAATTTTGTAGGCAGATAAGGCCATACAAAAGGAAGATAATCATACCGGTTATTGGGAAACCTTTAACTTGTAAACTTAGAATATTGCTTGGTTTACCTTCAGGAATGCGTTCCAGTCAGTAACAGTGCACAAGGAACTTGGAGAGTTGAATTTCTGCAACAGAACTGCGAATTAAACTATGAACCTATAGATTCCCTTTAATATATAGCCAAAGAGAAAAATCTGACCCATACAGATTTTGTAGATAATACTAGAATGCAATTTGCAAAAGCACCAACCAACGTAACTACTGCTACCAAAGAAAGGGGGAAAATACTGATTTAAACATGATTATTTAATAATCTAAAAGGAATCTGTTATACTAGGTGCCACAACTTTGGATGCACAGTTGTCCAATTACCAGCCGATTAAACCACCCCAATAATCTTTGTGATTGCCTCTGCCTCCACCCCAAGTTCTTCCGTGAAAATTTTGACTCAATTTTCTCAAACTTTACTAATGCCTGTTACTGCCTCTTGTGCCTTAAAGTCCAGATCCCTTAGGTGGCTTTTCTTCTATAATTTTAAATTGATTTCTGTAAAATTGAAATCTGTAAAATTGAAAGCGGTGGCTCTAAGAGAAATTTCTTATACCAATGCGGTAATATGAAGCAGCCACGGCAGACAGCTCATTTTAGACCAACCCTTGCACATATGGTTCTAAATCAGCCACTATGTTTTATGCAGCTTTCACTAATGCATGTGTACCTACATAGATTATATGGTTCATAAGGCTGTCATTTCCTGGTTTAAAGAAACTTGGGGATAAAGCAAATCATCACCTTGGAAACTTTTGTTTCTATCTCGAAGATGTGAGTCTGTTTTGTTGCATGAAAGGCCACACTAATTGTTTTGTATTCAAAGATTATCATTATAGGTTGAAGATATTTTCTTAAGGAATAGCTAAATAAACACTAGCACATAGAGACTGAAATTAAATAGTTATATCATACTAAGTTGAAATACAGCATAAAACATAAATAGAGCAAAGGAATCACACCTTAAGCATGTGGTGAATATCTCTTACAGACTTCAGTGTTTCCCGTAAAGCAGTCATCACTTCTTCGCAGCAAAGAAAGAAAGATATGTAATATGCCACTAAGGATAAACAGCAGGAGACAAAAATTTAAATATTATGCAACAAGAAATTAAACAATGGACATTCTGAAATAAGGATATAGTATTTAGCCGGTTGTTCAAAACACTGAGATCAAGTATAGGCCTTAGGAACCATGCCCTGACATGGAAGTGATATTTTCAATATCGCTAATAAATGCAAGTATGGACATTAGTTTGAAAAATAGGCTACAGGGCACACCTCAAGAGACGCCTTCCCATTGGTGTAACACACTATATTGTAAAAAAACTTATAGCCGTAATACAGATAATGAGCTTAGAAACAAAAGCTAACAACTACCTTATTAAACATTCCGAAGACGGAAAACCTGCGATTGAAGAGATAAAATATTCAATTTGAATAAGTAACAGCAAAATTTGCAGACAAATGAGAGGAACATACCCTTCCTTAGATCGTCCAATTCCCATATGACTTGGATGCTTGTCAATTTGAAAAATCTGTAAAGCCTCATAGGCAGTTGGATCGAGCTTAAGAAATTTGTCTCTGTCAAACAGTATAGGAAACCAAGCTAGGAACTTCATAATAGATGCATGTAAAAGAAATAAAAAAGAATAAAACTACAAAATATTAAGCTCAAATAAATTGAATTGGATAAAATGAGATCTGTTCCACTGAATCAATGGTTATTGATGCATTGCCACCCTCCCTTTGTTCCAAGGTGTCTATAAGCCTCTCAGTTTCTAGCACAGCTAGAAGGCCCCCACTAGCACGAATTTGAACATCACTTCCAAGGTCCACCATGGAATTAAGCTGTAGGTAACAAGTAGATGGCATCAAAATAACAAGTAGATGGCATCAAAAGTAGATGGCATCAAAACTATATTTAGTGCTATTACCAATTATAAATGAATGGAGTACAAAATACAATGAAAGAAAAGAAAATATATTCTTCAAGTGTATAATAGTCAACTGTGGTCATAAAATTGAAAGAAAAATAATCATAAAACTGTTTAATTATTTTCTCACACTCATCAACATTCATCCCAACTGACTGCAGATTTGATGGTTCGACTAGTTCATTATTGAATAAAAGCATCAACCATTCATATCTTATATTAACACCAGCAATTTCACGATAAACATAACACACACACAGATTTATATATATGCGCGTGTGCCACATACCCCGGCTTGTTGGTTCGCATCCATAGTATAATACCCCTCAAATCGAGGGTTCGAATCCCCTCTGGCACAGTTGGCCTTAAAGAAGTGATACTCGAATTGTTAGGCACATTAGGGGTTGCTAGAGCCTGGTACAATAGCTTGTGGCCATTCCTTCCATATATATAT